GGTTCCGATACTAATAAAGATTCAGCCAATTTCTTGTCAATTGCACCCATCTCCTGCCCACTGTCCAAAAGACTACCCAGGGATTTTTTGAAAGCCAACCCCTGGATCAAATTAGAGGACACGATACGTGGAACTGTCCCTGAGCTGCCTAATAGCCTCTTGTTTATAATACTGAGCATTAAGCACAATGACAGCTCCCCCTTTATCAGCTTCCTGTATTATTGGATCGTGTCTCTACTTAATACTACGGATAGCCTCAAACACATCCTTAGTGAGATTACTTTTGTAATGATAATGACCCTCTTTAATTTGCTTCACTAGGTTGGCAAGTTCTGCCTCTACAACATCCTGAAAAACCTCAACAGCTTAAATTCTGGCACATATGGGGTACAAATATCTGTCCCCCTTAATGGGAAAAGTAACCCCTTCACCCTGACCCCATCCCCCTTACTGGAGGCAGAATGTAACTGATTCAGCAAACGCTGATCCTCAAACAGAAGTTATTTAAAAGAAGTCCCCATCTGATCATGCAGATATTCTTTATTGCTGTTATCATCAGGAACATTTTTTGGACATGATACAGGTATGAGAGGAAATAAATGTCATACTCATGTGTGTATGTGTAAAATTGGCAATATAATGTTTGGAAAAAGAGACCTATGTAAAAATTTGTCTGTAGGGTGAGCTATGCCTGAAAAAAAAATCAAATTTCCATTTTTCTGGTAACAATTACCTTTTGCAAGGAATGCTGTGCAATTCTTCAACAACTCCAAAACACACCCTTCTTAATAATACACTATCATTTTGACCTTTTTCAAAACCTCACTTACAGTATCATGAGCCAACGCAATGATTTTTGTATGGAATCTTTGTTGCAGCAACTTAAAATTGGCTTGACCAGACACAGTTTACAGCGGACAAGTACAGTTGTGTCCAAAATTAAACCCCCAATGCTGTAAAGGGGTTTAGGGACTATAGTGTACATTTGGAATTGTATTCAGAATCAAATCCTACAAGGACGTTGTAACTACCCAAATGCAACTAAAATGACATCAATTGTTTATGTAATACAGTAGTAAATGTTTCTTATGTGCTTCATTGCCACAATTATTCAACCCCTTAAAGACTACCACTCTGAAGAACAGAGGTTCTACAGGTGCTTTCCATCAGGTATTGAAAACACCTGTGGATGTCACCGAGCAGCAATCAAGCATAATAAGCACCAATTAGGCAGCTTTAAAATGACAGTGATACTCAGGGGACATTTACTGGTGTGGTTACAAACATGGTGGTCCAGGAAGACAAGAATTCTCTCACAGGAAGGGCAATGCTATAAGAAATTGCAAAGATGTTAAACATGACACTTCATCATTCGCAAATTGGAAACGCTACCTGGTCGTGCAGAAAGAAGATGCTGACTTCGACTGCTGTGATACCTGAAGCGTAGAGTGGAGAGAAGTCCCCGTGTGACTGCTGAGGAACTGAGAAAAGATTTGTCAGATGTGGGTACAGAAGTTTCAGCCCAGACAATAAGACGACACGTGCGTAATGAAGGCCTCCGTGCCAGCTGGTACCCCCATTGCTTTAAGGAGTCGACTGCAGTATGCCAAAAGCCATGTGGACAAACCACAAAAGTTGTGGGATAGTGTTCTGTGGACTGATGAAACAAAATTAGAACTGTTTGGGCCCATGGATCAACGCTATGTTTGGAGGAGGAAGAACAAGGCTATTGGAAAAGAACACCTTGCCTACTGTGAAGCATGGTGGAGGGTCAATCATGCTTTGGGGCTGTTTTGCTTCTGCAGGTACAGGGAAGCTTCAGCGTTGCAAGGTACCATGAATTCTCTTCAGTACCAGATATTGGATGGAAACGTGAAGTCCGTCACACACCTGAGGCTTGGGAGACGTTGGACCTTTCAACAGGACAATGATCCCAAGCATACCTCCAAGTCCACTAGAGCATGGTTGCAGAGGAAAGGCTGGAACTGGAGTGGCCATCGCAGTCACCAGACTTAATCCGATTGAGACACCTCTGGTGGGACTTAAAGAAAGCAGTTGCAGTGCGCAAGCCTAAGAATGTGACTGAACTGGAGGCCTTTGCCCATGAAGAATGGGCGAAGATACCCGTAGATCGCTGCAAGACACTTGTGTCAAGCTATGCTTCACGTTTAAAAGCTGTTATAACTGTAAAAGGATGCTGTACTAAGTATAAGATTGAATGTCACTTGGGGGTTGAATAAAACTGATAATGCTGTGAGCAACAGAAAAGACATTTGTGGTTATTTCATTATAACTGTTATGTTTATTTGTCTGATACAAGTTGTGTAAATGTAAGCAATATGACTGCTCAAAAGCAATGTCAAACTGGCCAAACACTCAATTTCAGTGGGGGTTGAATAATTTTGGACACAACTGTAGGTGCAAAGGCTGTTGGGTTTATATCACACTGATATAATAGAATTTTACCGATATTATCTCTAACAAGCTGCAAGCGCTAGGAACAGCAGATGGGGAAAAGTGTGGGCAAGAGGTGAAAGTGTCTGTGTAAATGTGAACTTCCTCTGGACTGTGCTGAACTGTGATTGTGGTGTTTAGCAATGCTTACTGCATATTAATGGCATGTCACCTAATAAGAGATGCGTCCGTCTGGCTGGCATTCTTTGGGAGAACCAGCTGCTTGGATGTGTGTTTTTTTTTTTGAATTTTGATTGTAAGCTCATTGGAAAAGACACCATTCAGCAGATGCCTGCTATTGTTTGGCAATTTGTACAGTATTAATTAGACATATTATGGATGAATTTTCACTGTGCTTTATAAATACGAACATACCACTGCTTGTGCATTTTATAGATTTCATGTTAAATTAATTTGCACTGCTAATAACATATTGATGATTCTCCAAAGAAGAATTACAATATAGTAAGGAGAGCAAGTTCCTGAGAGATCTGCAATCAATCATTATGTAAAAATAATTGTGAAAACAAAACATACTTGTCAAATAAAAGCAAGGCAAAATGTGCTCTGTGGGAAACTTGGTTTTAATAAAAAAAACTTGTATTTCAACACAATGCTAGGCTAAGAATCACTTACTAAGATAATAAAAGTGGCTGAATATGCATCCAATGTCCTCAGCATCAGTGGCAGGTTGCACACTATTCTGTCAAGCTCACGTTTTATCTGCATTTCATTTGGCTGCAGAATCACAGATGGATAGGGTAAAAAAAAATTACTGTTCGACAGAGTAAAGTTTAAAGTAATATTTAATAGAAATGAAAAGATCTTATTGTATAAAACACCCAATGCTTCTAAAAGCCAAATTTTTTTTATTTTAAAGTGGGTCTAAAGTCAAAACTTTTTTATTTGCAGCCTTAAATAGAAAAAGGAAATATTTCACCAAGAATGGAAATGAGAAAAAATCCAACCAATTTTAAATTGCAACGGATGAGGAATAGCAGGGAAAACTTTCAATGTGGGTACCAGTTACAATGACCTAACTTACTTCCTGTTTTATGTACAAAAAGTAACAGTTATTTTATCTATACCCCACACCAGAATTCACAAGTCCCAGAAACAGGCTGGGTTCCCATCTGTGCAGTGTGCTTTAGGTGTGTTTTACATGCGCATTAGGTGTGTTACCATTGAACTCTATATAACGTGCTCTTTGATGAAAGCTCATCAAAGATGCAGCAAGCTGGATTTTTTTTTTAATACCCTGCTCATAAAGTGCATGTAAAACGCACAAGTGTGAATAGGTCCTTAATGTTATTTGGTTTTAGATAAACATCAACTGTTCCCGGTGCTTGTGAATTCTGGTATAAGTTTAACAGATAGTAGTTGAGGTACAATAATTCTCTTAAAACATGTATCTAGTAAGTCATTCAACTATATATTAAGGTTTCAGAAGTTTATATCTCTTCTTTTCTTTTGGTTAACTTCTGATTTACATCCCAATAGAATACCCACAGCAGCTATTACATCTTTTATAGGGTTCATTAAGACAGGTAGCAAAATAACAAATAAAATATTATGTATTTTTTGCCCCTATAATACATTTTTATTTAAAATGTCCACTAACTTGGCCAAAATAAATAAAGCTGCCCTGTGATAAGCAAATTTACAATTGGCACAAAGATTTGTTGAAGACGGTTGCATATGCAAATGAAAATGCTCTGGTCTTCCTCACATTTCAGATGAAAATCTTGAATGTATCTGAGGTGTGGTCAACAGAGCCCTAAGAAATCCACAACACGGGCAAGCTTTGAACCTGGAGTTGCTGAAACAACAGGAAGGATTGTTCTTAAAAAATGTTTGCATATGAAGCTATATAACTAGCAGTTACTGCAAGCATTGTATCCTTGCGACCATTACAGAAGGTTTGAATTTTGCAATGCAATTCTGCAAGATATGGAAGAGGACAATTTTTCTGAAAGGCTAATTTTTTCTGATGAATCAACATTTCATCTCTCTGGTAAGGTTAAACGCTACAATGTTAGAATTTGGGGGCATGAAACTCCTTGCATAGTCGTTGAACATGCAATTTTTTTCTATGGAGGTACATGAAAAAAGGGTTTTGTAGCATCCATACCTGCTACTCTTTAAGATCTGAGACATCGAATTGCTGAAGTTGTGAATTCAATAACTAGTGAGCAGTTGATTTGTGTGTGGCAAAATATGGTCTACCGTTTTGATGTTTGTCACACAACACATGGTGCTTATGTTGAGTGCACACAACCTCAATGACCATAAAACTTCCTCTATCCAGTGATGTGCAGAATGTGCTTCTATCCCCTACAGTTTGTTTGAAATAAAGATTTGAAATCTGATCCATTGTTTTGAATAACCCTGTATTTATAAATAACTAGAAAGCTGTGATATCAAATGGTTTTACAGGCAATGTAGTCTGAAACTGTCTACATGCTTCAAATAGCAGCATGACAATAATAAAGAAAAACTAGACACACAGTAAAAGTTAAACAGAAGGTGGATGGTAGAGAGAATATATCCTCAGATGCACTATATTGCCAAAAGTATTGAGGTATCCCTCCAAATTATTGGATTGTTCCAATCACCTCCATGGCCACAGGTGTATAAAATCAAGCACCTAGGCATGCAGAATTCTACAAACATGTGTAAAAGAATGGGTCGCTCTCAGGAGCTCAGTGAGTTCAAGCGTGGAACCATGATAGGTTGCCACCTGTGCAATCCATCTGTGAAATTTCCTTGTTACTAAATATTCCATGGTCAACTGTTAGTGGTATTATAAAAAAGTCAACAGAGTCAATAGCTATTAACAGAGTCAATAGCTAAAGACCCCCAAACTTAGTGTGGCCTTCAGATTCAGGCACAAGGTGGTAGGCCACGTAAAATGACAGAGCGGGGTCAGCACATGCTGAAGCACACAGTGCGCAGAAGTTGCCAACTGTCTGCAGAGTCAATAGCTAAAGACCTCCAAACTTCATGTGGCCTTCAGATGAGCACAACAATATTGTAAAGAGAGCTTCATGGAGTTGGTTTCCATGGCCGAGAAGCTGCATCCAAGCCTTACATCACCAAGTGCAATGCAAAGCGTCAGATGTAGTGGTGTAAAGCATGCCACGACTGGACTCTAGAGCAACGGAGACAACGAATGATGTTTCTCTGTCTGGCAATCCGATGGACATGTCTGGGTTTGGCGGTTGTCAGGAGAATGTTACTTGCCTGACTGCATTGTGCCAAGTGTAAAATTTGGTGGAGGGGGGATTATGGTGTGGGGTTGTTTTTCAGGGGTTGTGCTTGGCCCTTTAGTTCCAGTGAAGGGAACTCTTACCGCATTAGCATACCAAGACAGTTTGGACAATTTCATGCTCCCAACTTTGTGGGAACAGTTTGGGGATGACCCCTTCCTGTTCCAACATGACTGTGCACTAACGTACAAAGCAAGGTTCATAATGACATGGATGAGTGAGTTTGGGTTGGAGGAACTTGACTGGCTTGCACGGAGTCCTGATCTCAACGTGTTAGAACACCTTTGGGACGAATTAGAGCGGAGACTGCGAACCAGGCCTTCTCGTCTGACATCAGTGCCTGACCACACAAATGCTCTTCTGGAAGAATGGTCAAACATTCCCATAGACACACTCCTAAACCTTGTGGACAGCCTTCCCAGGAGAGTTGAAGCTGTTATAGCTGCAAAGGGTGGGCCAACTCAATATTGAACCATATGGACTAAGACTGGGATGCCATTAAAGTTCATGTCTGTGTAAAGGCAGGAGTCCCAGTACTTTCAGCAATATAGTGTATATAGTGCCACCACTGTTCACTTCTACGTCCTGACAGAATTCCTACTTTGTGATCACTGACTTGGAGGATATTAGCTTGTATCCTTTACAGCACTTAATAAATGATACCTTTTATTCCCAGATTTGTAATAACTAGAAATTAGTAGTTTTTTTGTCTGGATTTGCAATCACTAGATGTGGAGGGATCCGAGATTGCAGTTTTCTTTTTTTATGTTTATTCTGCTTTTTCATTACTTTTGGTGTTGGATGTTTATTTTTCAAGTATATATGTCTACTTCCTTTTTTACATTGGTAAATTTTGGTGTTTTAAACCCCCCTGGCGGTATTCCTGAGTGTAGCTTGGGGTTAGTTTTCAGTACCAGAAGCAGTAACCCCGAGCTACACTCGGGAATACCCTGCAGTGTTGCTATGGAATTCCCTCGATCACTTACCTTGTCCTGCGCTCCCGCAATGTCCCCCCTGCAGTGTTCTCAGCCATGTCCTCCGGCTGATGCTGGCATCTGTCTTCCAGGTTCCGGTCCCTGCGAGCGTTGGGACGTATGGGGGCCGGAACCGGCATGAAATATAAAATTTTTAAAAAGTGACATTCACTCAATACAATAAAATCACATAGTAAAACATTACTGTATAAAAGCATTTCACATACATTTTGTCCCTAGTGCTTTGTCCTGTGCCCTGCCTGCATTTTTACTGTTATTTCTGCCTTGAAACTGAGAAATGTCCATGGCGTCCAAAAAGCGTCCCTTTAGGTCAAAAGCGGTTTTAGACCAGCTAGAGAACAGCGATAGTCAATCAGAACCACTTGTAGAATTGAGTGATAATGATTAGTGGGGAAATTCGTCATCAGACACTGAAAACGATTCTGCGACTTTGCTCAGTGAAGTGTGAACTTGGCGCTATATTTCAAATTTCAGTGTTTTTGGTTTGATTACATTATTGAATTAAATGTATTATTATTATTTTATTATTTTTTTATGATTATTTACTATATTATAATTTATGATTTTGTGTTTCAAATTTAATCATACCCGGGAAGTTTGCTAGACTTTTGTTTGGACAGATTTCAGTGAGTTATTCCTAAAAATTACAGGCCTACAATAAAAGAAAACGATATATTTCCATGCAAAAAAATGTATCGCTTTGAGCACAGAAATACTGACATGATCGGACTGCTAGGGAGGGTAATAAACTCTTTAAAATGTTTATCTTCTGATTATTTTTTTTTTTTCTTTAAAATGCTTTTGGGTAAATGTTCATTACATAATATATGGAAATGGGATGGAGCCCTTACAATTATAGCCTGCAGATAGTTGTCACTGCTAAATAATCTTTTTAGTGTATTGAATTTGTATGCATGTTTAAGAACATTATTATGAGTTTGTTTTGTTTATATATGAGACTGATGCAAAGGTGCTTGAGATACAACTTATGTCTTGATATCCATGCACCAGAATTTCCAGTTTCTAACTAGTACATCATGCATTCCATTTAATGAGGAGAAAAGTGAGTGCAGGGATTTGTGCCCTCTTGAGCAGGATACACAAGATCCTGATGGGTATATAGTTCCACAAGAGCATTAATATGCCTCGTCCCTCTGAGGAAATCCATGAGGATGCTCTTTGGCAAGAGTACTATTGTTTTGGGCACTCTATTTTAGATATAAGCCAGGTAATGGGGGAGATCAGACTGAATTTAAAGAATTAACATTTTTATATATTTGTATATAGAAGAGTAGCATTTTTGACATTTTTATACTGCAGATGTCTGTGACCTGTTAGGTGTTACCTTGGGGTGACACCTGCACACTTTATCAGATATTTGCACTCTCTCTAAAATTTTGAGACACAACATTGTGTCTTCACCTACAGGGGTTAGACAAAAAATGGAAATACTACATGATTTGAGGTGTGAAAGTGACCACATGTTTTGCGATGAAAGAAGAAGTGATGCAACATTCTTTTGCTTCTGCTGTGTGATGAGACACCTAGCTAATAGGTGGGAAGCTTCACTTTCATCATTCACTAGAAGCACTGCTAGTAATACGGCGCATACATGTCAGAGCTTATTGAGGTTCAAAGAGGGCAAATTGTTGGTACGTGCTTAGCTGGTGCATCTGTGACTGAAGTTGCCAATTTATCTGCCATGTCACGAGGTACAATATCAAAGTTTAGGACAACATATACAGCTTCCAGGGAAACGTCATCTAATAAGAATAAGAATGGTCGATACAGTCAACTGACTGAAAGAGACAATAGGACATTGTGGAGGTTTGTGACCCCGAATAAGGAAACGACTGCTGCAAAAGTGACTGAAAGCTCAATCTCAGTCTTCACAGGAGCTCTGCAGTCACTTTTTTGATTTGAAACAGTTTGCACAACTCTGCCATCACCAGAGACACTAAAGGATTACCCTGGTCAGTCAGTATGTCCTTGGGAAAACCGTTTCTTGAGAACATATATAACAATTCCCATGCAATTGCCTACGAAGAAGTTTTTCTTAAAAGGAATACCTTTGGATACCTAGTTGTATAATCAAGAACCAGCAGGATATATTGATGTCCCTGTGCTGGTTTCACTAAAAAAACCTACCATATCCATAGAAATGGGTTCACATTGTACCCCAATTATTGCCCAAGGTACCCAAGAGTTTCAGGAAGCGCAATGCCTCTTAACCTCTGCATTCGCCCTTTGCCAGTAAAACCAATCTGCTATTCGTGCCTCCATTTCCTCAGCCCCTAGGTGTCCTCCCAGTGCATCATTGTGAGCTAAATTGAGCAGCATCTGTGTATAAAGCTGAGCAACCAGCAACTGCTCTACAGTCTCCCCTTGGACTTCAGCTACATTTAAAGCAGATCATTGTTAAGCGCAAAATGAGGAAACCTCAAAGGTATTTGTAGAATCCTATTAATGACAGGACAGCGATATGCTCTTTAGCATTTGATATTGTAGGGTCCTGCAATTGGGTCATACCAAATGCACCCTGGACACATTGTAGTCAGGATGCACTGGACTGGAGAACCTTTCCCCGTCATCCTCTTCCACTGTGGCCTGTATTGGGGTAAATTCTTTTTCATCATCCACAGCCATGACCTACAATGGACATTATTATTCACCATGTCACAATGATCAGTATGTATATCAACATTAGGGGGTGTTGGTGTGGGCGGTTCTGGGCCAGACCCCTTGAAAATTGGGACCTGGAAGGTCTACAGTCCAAGTCTCTGGACTGTCTGGATGTTCATTCTGTATCTGTTCCCACAGTTCAAAAAACAATGGACAGTCCCATCTCACTAAGACATCCTGAATCAAACTATTCAAAACCCCAACCTCTTGTGTCACAGAGGTACCGCCATAGGAAATTGACACTGGAACCAGGGGCTACTCCCTGGTGTCCCCATGGATACATATAATGGTCTTAGATACCGGAATCCAGTAGGGCCTTGGAGATGATTCATCCACACTTCACACTCAAGAGCCATGGGTTCTTCCTGAAGTGGGCACTGTGCTCAGGTATGGCCCCAGAATTGGCACTGCCAGCACTGCACATTTCCTATTCTCCTGGTAGGGACAGACTTCTGTGGATCTGTAAAGTCAGACTCTTGGATGCTGGTTCCAGGGTCTGGCAGGAAATCCTTCCTAGGAGGACCAGTCAATGCCTCTGGCTGCAGCCATTTCTTGACCATTTGAACCAGTTCATGCATCTGGGATCTGTTGTGGCAGTACCTCCAGTGGTGCACCCTTTGGGCCAGTACAGTGGTAGTCACCCCAAGATGAGCCAGGATCTCCACCTTCAGCTGCTTGTAGTTTATGACATCAGCAGACGGTAGGTCAAACTAGGCTTTTTAAATTTTCCCAGTGAGAAAAGGGGTGATGAGGCCAGCCCACCCTCTCTCCGCTGTTCTCTCAAAAGTGGTCAGAAATGATTCCACATCATCACTAGTAATTGCCTTTGGCAGGTAGTGTCTGTCTCTCACAGCCTCCTGGTTGGAGGGGCAACAGTTGCTTGTTCCTGTCCCTGTGAGAGATGCTGCACCACTTCCTGCAAGGTGACCACTTGTGCCTGGTGGTTTCTTACTGTTCCAGGTAACTGTTCCTCATGGTGACGGTTTGCCTCCTTAGAGGCCTGCTTCTAATCATGTCCAAGTGGCTTCTTGATGGGTCACTGTGCTCTGAACCAGAGCTTTTATAACATCTTCCATGCCACCTTCAGAGGTTTGCAGCACCTCACTGTAAATGACAGTTTTTCTTTTAAATGACTTTTGTGGCTGCACTGTAATCTGCTAACATCCAAGCACCACTTTTTAAAGTTCAC